GTATATTTTTTACTAATTTGCTCAGATTTATATTGCCTCAGATATATACTCTAAAAATAGAATTGCGCAAATGAACGTAAACAAACAGCCGTTTATATCCATTCTCTTACTCTCTCATATGTCTGTTCGTTCAACTGTTCGTTCGTTCCGTTCTTGCGAATGAAATCTAAGGTTTCGTTCTTAATAGTCGAGGAAGGAATTTCAATAGTTTGTTAATTTTAATAAATTCCTTTCAGAAAGTCAATCTTGCCTTCGGGTTACGGATTCATCAGTTTCAAGAGATACGGTAAGAGGGTACGATAGTTCACCAGTTTGGCATACCCCAAGACTGCGTTCAAAGCTGCAAATTGTGCACACATTGATGATATTATTTGTGGGGCTTTGTACATATTCTGCTCTCAGTGAAATCTGTTTTTATTGATAACAACGCTCGTTGCATAAACAAAAATCTTTGATTTATTGATTAAAAATTGGATCATGTGGTCATTGGTCCTTGGAAGGTTTCCAGTAAGGCTTTGCAGCGAGGTTCCGTCTTGTCTTGATCAGTGAGAGTAATTTCATGCTGCTCATAACTGTTATTTACAGTAAATTCGGGAGACGTCCTGTTCCTGTTCCAAAGATCGCTAATTCGAATTACGAGTTGGTAACTTCGGAAGTTCGTAAAGTTTCAGTCTTGACTGATACCATCGTGATCATTCCATGATTCCGAACTTTAATTAATTTCATGTTGCAGAATTGCGCTGGATGTTTGCTTGCTCTCACTATTTCTGTCGAAGCAACTAAGGTGTAGAGCTTCGTTCTCAAACTAAATATATTACCACAACGAATGAAAGGATGATATTCTGGTATTTCTGGCCAAAAACGGTCGTCTGATCGACAAAACTCGATGGCTTAGCATGCGCACATATCATAATGCTCTAAATACTGAGGTAGTCTCTATATCAGACTCCTATTTCAACAGCATGTCAGAGCACCTCTGTCTTTGTGTAAAATGTTTTGCTTCGGGATTCTGAATGTCGCTAGAATTCAAGAAGTACCAGGTTCAGTATTGTTTACCGATTATCAGTAAATAATCATTGAGGTCTTGACGTTCTTTTTGCCGAACGGTAACAAAACTGACAAGTTTAACACTGTAGTGGGTGATACTCTAAAAAACGTTGTTACCACAATTTTGCAATTATGCAATCTATATTTCTAGGACAGTGAGAGAGGCTGCAGTCGTAACTGTCTTTAAGAGCGTGTTGAAGTAGTCCTTAATTTGATGAAACAACAGCCCTTATATTGAGCTTCGAAAATTTGACATCGTAAATGGAGGAATTGATCAGATATGTTAACTTAGTTGAGTTGACCTGCATTATTGCACATGCGGTCGGTTGTAGCATCGTTCTCGTGCGGCCAGGTCAACCCCACGCGCGTTAAGGTGCAATGCATGCCATTCCTCTCGATTGTTTAAAATGCGAGCTGTTATACCTTCTTCCGAAGACGAGGCAAGGCAGAAGAAGAGCGTAGCAAGCCGATGCGAAAAAATCCTGCTTTCGCCGGCGTTAATTTCGATCAACTGCTTACCCATCCTGCCTTAGCTCGAAGAACTGAAGGTTTTTTAATCGATGTCGCTTTTCATTCCGCCGCAGGAAATTTGGATGTGACTACGACAACTTCCTGGATATGGAATACTTTATTTCTTACGATTTAGACCGTCCAGGGAAGTCGAATTCGCATGACGGCGGTATTATTAGATGGATCAAAGCGACGTGGTGTACCAACACTTAAGAATGATTAAGTTTGTGTGACGAAGATCTGAAGTGTTTTGTTGTGGAATGTCGGTCGAGGTATTTATCAACGTATTCTACGTTGTTCTGCTATTTTCGGTTGGCAACATCTGCATCACTCCGAACTGTAAACAACCTATCGTCGACGCCTTTTTCGAAAAGCTAAAGGATGGCATCGGCGTTTACTCCTTTTTTCTTTGACTAGCATGTGTAAACGTACTTTCTGTTTTTCTATAGGATGAATACTTGTCACATTATTCGTTAGGGATCACTTAAGTATAAATGAAGGAATCAGTGATTTATAACCTGGTGACATCAACCGCAAGCTGTATAAAAACTGTCACTCACGATCGGAAGGAATGCTAAAAATGTTCCGATTGTTGATTGTAGGAACAAGGCTATGACCATCCTCTGTTCTAAACATGTCAGTTTCGTGTTCCTTGAGTCCGGATAACATACCAGTGTACGGTTTTATTTAGACTGGATAAGTTTCGTTGAAAGATATGTTGAAAGTGACAAATCTTGCCCGAAACTTCGGAACCTTATACGCTGTTCGAAGCCTATCTCAGGTACATTATTTTCATTTTCCTTCTTGGTGTTCTTACACTTCTTGTTTTTTTGTAACAGTTTATTTTTTTGTCTCGGTATCTCGCCACACACGGTCTGAGCTTGTAACATGTGCTGTGTACTGTGAACTTGCATGAATGTATATACTTGTACTCTGTGCTATGAACTCAATATGAAATTTCTGACTACTACTTTTGTAGGTCAGTAACTTCTAGATATCAATGTTTCTCTGTTATTAGCTCCTTATTCTCTTTATGCCACTGTTCCTTGAACCTTCATATGCGTAATGCAGGGTATATAGTTAAATATAGCATGCGGTTTATGTATAGTACATTATGTATGATTTATGTTATCATATTTCGGTATTATAATACAGTGATATAGTATATCTTGGAATGTTTAAATGCCATTATTAATGATAAATATAAGCATATAGTTACACAGATACAGTTGCATGTACTTATAAAGGCCAGTCTGTAGATAACGAATTTCTTGGCAAATTTCAAAGCCCCGTTGCTACTAAAATTTTGGCAGATTTGCGAAAACAAGTAAATACTGCAGACTTCTAATTCTTCTAATATATCACTGAACTCTCCCAGTCGCAGGATTTCATTACTTATTGAACCAAGTCTTGCACTCTTTCACTCCTCCAAATTCAGATTTCGTTGGAGTACTAGACTGTATGTGGTTATTTGTAATTTTATACTTTTGTTTATGAATGGCTACATAGACTAATCATAAACAGTACTACTTATCTGTGTGGTTATTTAAAACAATTTATATGTTTCGTGGCACATATCACTATGTATATTAGACCTACTGATCGGTTTCGTACTGCCTGATTATTGTTACTAATAGTTTAGTCCTACTGGTTCTGTTAATTTTCTCCTAACGGTGCATGGTAAATCTGCTTGATACTTCTTGAAATAATAGTTGTATTTTGCTAGTTTGCAGGCAGGGGTATGCACCGACAAAGCTGATACACTAATTGCATACCGTTTTCACCGTTACCGCTTCTGTTTACTGTTACGTTCAAAACTTTCGTACGGAGATAGCAGATGTTGAGCGTTGAAAGTTATGTTCATAATATAAATGTTTACACGGTCCCCTTGCATCCGAATTTATTTTATGTAGGCCACAGCAATGTCAAACACTTTCCTCAAGTAAGTTTTTTTTCGTACAGCATATTTGCCATTATTTATTTTTTTTCAACTCGTTCGTTTTTACTCTCGAGAATTCCACTACTAAAATTCATACTAAAGTATATACTTTAAGCTGCCTGCGAAGAAAACTTGTCTGTACGATGTACACGTCGCGAATGGCGGGAAAATGGTGCCGTTCGCCGGTTACATGATGCCGGTTGAATACAAAGATCAAACGTTGATCCAATCTCATTTGCACACCAGAAGCCATGTCAGCATTTTCGACGTGTCACATATGCTGCAAACGAAAATTTACGGCAAAGACAGGTAATTTTAGCCAGATATTTTGTCGCTATATAGAAATCCTACTTGATTGGTGAATTTGGACTGAGATTTGGATAGGCGGTTGAGTTTTACGGAAAAACAACTGAGTGATTAGTGTTAAATTGAAGGTAATTTTATAGCGGGTAATAATGTTTAGTACAAAGTTTGCTTTTGAAACAAATCTGCGCCATTTTAGGATAAGGTTTATCGAAAGTCTGATCGTTGGCGACATTCTCTCGCTGCCAGACAATCAGGGCACTTTGACCTGCTTCACAAACGAGAATGGAGGCATAAAAGACGATTTGATTGTTACACGTACGTCGCAGGATTACTTGTATGTGGTTACGAACGCGGCTTGTGCCGAGAAGGACGTTGCACATTTTCAGGTGTGATGTTGCTCAGGATTTGTCCGATTTAATGTTTTACTTGTTTTTTTTTGATTTAGAAGCACCTCAAAGAGTTTCAGAAGCAGGGTCATGACGTTGGAGTGGAACACCTTTTTGGACGAGGCCTGATTGCTGTTCAAGGCAAGTGCATGACTTAGCTTCGTTGCGTTCGTGTATAGGCGCCTCTGAATACCGTGATCGTGAATACCACTAGCGCTTTCCATCACATGCATAGGTAGCTCAGTTAGTTCAGTGTCAAACCTGCATGCACAAGGTCGTTGGTTTGATTCTTGATCAGGTCAGTCAGCATTCGATCTTTCGAAACAGATAAATGGGTACCATTACGTGGAATATAAACAGTAGACTAAACACTGTTATAAGTACATTTTGTAAGTGTTTTCTTCAGAAGATTAGGCACTACATGCTCATGGAATCGAGACCTAAGTCAGTGGCGCAAGTGGAAGTTAATGGAAGGGAGGTGTCATGGTGCAGTGAAAACTATAGAAATGTAAGGTTAAGCGAAAAGAATAGAGGCAGACGAATATCGAGGTTGCTGTTATTCGAGCGTAGTCTGCCTTTAACGTTGATTCCCTTGAGAAAGTGCTCTGGAGGCTGGGCACGCCAGTCATCGATTCCTCAATAACTATGTTCTACTCTTTTTTCGCCCTCACCAGTTCGTCATGTCGAAGTCGTCACTCCTTCAATACAGTCCCGATGTTGTTCATGGTAACGTCATGTATCGTCTGCTCATCTTCATAAACGATTGTCTCTGGCACCTCTGCATCTCTTAAATACATTAGATACGCTGACCACACTTTTATATCAGGATCAATGAAATCTGTGGAAAGCTAGGAGAAAATACATCTT